GGGGGTGTTGATGCTGGCCAGATGTGACCTGGGAGCAGAGGAAAGCTCTTTAAGCATGGGAAACGGTGTGCGACAAGATCTGCTTTGTATTTTGAGGATAGAGTTTGGGGGTACAGGGAGATGGGGAGGACCCACCCGGAGGCCAGTGGTGGTGGCCCGGGGGCGGCAATTTGGCTGGAGAGGGCAGGAGAAGCAGAGAGGGAGCAAAGTGGAGGGAGCCACCAGGCCTTAGGAAGAGAAGCTGAGGGGGCAGATGAGCTAGGACCGGTGATCTGCGAGGTGGGGACCTGGAGGGGCCGCTTCCTCCCCTGGGAAGCTGGTGAGGCTGATTTGGACCTGTTGTGTTGGAGGCCTGGGCTACCTCCTTGTGGGAGGGCCCGTGGCTCTGTTGCTCAGGGAGGAGTCAGGTGGGATGAGGACACAACAGTCACCCTGTGGCCTTAAACCCACCATCACTACTCACCCCGTAAAGGACGCGTGTCTTGGTGTAAGTCTGTTGTACGGGGTCATTAGCCTGGGAGGCCACAGGGGCAAGTGTTGGGTTTTGCCCCAAGAACAGGTTTGGACCCAATGAGAGGCCAGAGAGGCATCAGCACGGATGAGGCAGGGCGGCGGGAAGGGGGTGAAGCTCCCACGGGGGCCTCACGCTTCCTGGAGCTGGGCCTCCGAGGACCCCTCCTTGGGTGTGCAGAGGCCTCCAGCTGTCCTCTCTTGGCCTCAGGGTGAAGAGAAGCTTCTACCGCAACGTGCCCTCTCCAGGGGCCTTCTTCCAGTCCCTCTACAGTGTGCACAATGGGGACTTCCAGGTGCGTGCACAGCCCACGGCAGGGGTTGGGGGAGGGGCTGGGGTCGCCCACGTGTCTGGCCTGCCCAGGATGTGGGCTTCGGGTGAGAGTTGGGGGCTAGTATGGGGCCTTTGTCAGTGCTTTGAGCTTTTTTGGTACACGTAGTGGGTTTAAATTTACACACTGTGTCTCAAATGCATCAGAACAATTAGCTTTATTCTCTCTTGCGGGTTTCTTTTTGTCTTGGGGTAGCAGCCCCTGGGAGGTACATGGTCCTGTTTTAGTGCAAACTATCGCCTGTCCCGGCTTCTCCTCTGAAGACGTCTGTGGGGAGGGCCTGGTGCTCGTGCTGTCCCTGGGGCCCTCAGTGGTCTGCGGGCTCCTGCTCTGGGGGTCACTGGGGAGTGCCTGGCCCCTCCTGGTCCCCATGGGTAGCATGCTGGCACACCCCCCATCTCCCCCTTTGTGGGGCATCAGACCCCTGCCCTTCCCACTGGCCTGGTGGTCCCTGCCCCTTGGATGGGAGGGGGCGGGGAGAAGCTCCCCCAAGTGGTCCCGGGTTCCCCACTGTGGGCAGAGGATGGGATGATATGCTTCCTGGGGTCCTTCCCCATCCCCCTGCCTCCCCCTTGTGTCTCTCAAAAGGGAGCCCAGAAAAAAAATTTAAAAAGGGAGCCCAGGTTTCAAGATTGTTGTCCAAAAGTATAACTCAAAGCTTAAAGCTGAGCATTTTGTCCTTGGTGGAGGCCACCTCCTTCTCCCAGACAGGGGCCGTCACTGTCAAGACCCCTGAGGTGATCGTCCTGGAATGTGTCATCTGGGCTGCACACAGCTGGGTCCTGCCTCACCCCTGCTGACCACCATCTGGCTCTGCTGAGGCTCCCCACAAAACCTCCTCTGTAGACCCATGTCACCTGCCAGGCTACTTAGACCCCTCAGGTGGTGGGCTGTAGCCACGGGTCGGCTCTCAGGGATCAGGGCAGACAGAGGGTGAGGTATGTGTGGTCCATTTGGTGGGGGTTCCTGGTCCCACCTAGGAAATACTTTCCTTTGGGAGGTGGGGGCCTCCTGTGGCTCCACGGAGGGATCCAGGTCTGCTGCCCTCAGCCCAAAGGTGCTGTTCCCACAGCGTCTCCCAGTGTGTGTGTTGGCGGGGAGGGGGGTCCAGGAGAGGGTGCCCAGCGTCTGTAGCTCGTGGGAGTGCCTGGAGCAGCAACCAGGGTTTTCTCTGTCCTCGGCACCTGTCACCACCTGTACCCTGTGTCAGGCTGCTGTGAGCACCAGGCAGGGAGGTGGGGGATTGCTGAGGGTCCTGAAGGGACTCGGGGTCCCGGGCTGAGGGTGGGCTGGCACATGGCGGGCAAGATAGAATGTTCCAAGCATAGTTGTTGCTTGGACTCTGGGTGAGGATGTCAGGAGACCTTTCTGGAGGAGGAGGGGAGGCTGCTTCCAGGGAGAGTCCCAAACAGGCTGCCTGAGCCCTTCCCACCCCCCCACGCTCTCTGTTGTAGACCTGGATAGGGGCCCACAGAACCGGTCTGCTGCCGAGCCAGGACTGTGTCGGTTCCCCACGAGGAGTCTCGGAGCCTGGTGTCCAGGAGGTCATTGCGTGGCTGACCTACGACCCAGCGGATCCCTGGCAGTCAGTGGCCCTGGAGGAAGAGGAGGAGGGCCCTGGCGCCGGCCTCCCTGAGGCGGTGCTGCTAGCTGGGCATGTGGAACAGAGAGGGCAGCCTCCTGCCTACCTGCCACAGGAGGACTGGGCCCCCTCGATCCCCAGCAGGCCAGCTTCCCCACAGTCAGAGGGCAGCAGTGGCGACTACTGGGCCCTGGGCTGCTCTGGGGACTGCCACCCCTCCACCTTCCCAGGAAACACCCAGAGCTCGGAGCCCAGCCCGGCCTCGGCCTGTGGCCTTTCCTGTGACCAGCAGAATCTGGACACCTGGTGAGGAAGTAGTCCTGGGGGGGTCGGTCACAGTGAGAGGCAAGACCCCACTGCATGCGTCCCGTGAGGACCGCAGGGCCTTTTCTTCGCTCCTACTGGGTTTGACCTGGGACCCCGACTTGGGCCAGCTGCATAAAATCCATTTTGTGGAAAATGGACTAAAGTTTCTCTGAGAATGGAGCCCCTGCACAGACATCCTGTCCGGATGGAGGCAGGCAGGCAGACGACCCCTCCTCCCTCCCCTCCCCTCAGCATCCTGCTACCCAGCCCCCACTCCGGGCCCACCACTTCCCTCCCTGCCCTCTGGCTCCATCAAGGCCCCTCTGAGCAGGGGGTGTTAGCCCCACACCTGTTCTGCCCTCACCCCCTTAAAGGGCCAGCTTGCTCCCAGCAGACACAGATGAGGTGGTGCTATGACCTCTTTCCGTACCCTCCTGAGGTACCTCTCCTACTGAGATGACAAGAACTGGCTGCTGGACGGGAGAGGGGCCCAGAGGAGGTGCAGGGGGATGGGCTCTGTCTGCTCTTGGGCTTTCTGGGGTGGGAGGTGCTGATGTTGGAAAAGGAGGATCAAATGGAGGCCGGTCCCTCTCTGGGTGCCCAGATAGAGAGGGCATCTCCCCGTGGGGCTCTGGTGACCCCTGCGGTCTGCACAGAAAAAAGCACCTGTGGCCCCAGGCTCCCCAGGCAAAGGCCCCCTCTGCGTCAGACAGGCATCCCCTCCCCTCTGCGTGCCTGTGGAGCCCCCGCGGTTTTGTGGGGAGCCTCAGCGGAGCCAGATGGTGGTCAGCAGGGGTGAGGCAGGACCCAGAATGTATTTTTAGCAGGTAGAGAACGGGAAGGGTGTAGACGGAAGTGAGGTGCAGACATCTTCAGTTCTAACCGAGGATTAAAAAAAATAGCGTGAATCCACTTCCTGGGGCCGACCCCTGGGGAGCCCTGGGCTGGGGTATTATAGCAGCATCTGTGTGGCTCCTGTGGGTTCCCAGGGAACCTAGGCCACCCGCATGTGACAAGTGACCCCCACAGCGGGGACGCCTCTTCTGTGTGGCCAGAGACGTTGTTCCTGTGAGTCACACATTTTCTGTCTGTGGCACCCAGAGACCTGGCTTTGGGCCGGAGCGTGAGCCTGCAGCCCCTTGGAGGTTGTGTGACGGTAGGTGAGCCACGCCTGCCCCTTCAGGACGAGCAATACCTCCTTGTGCTGCTGTGAGTTCACCTGAGCAAGTCACCTGCACACCTCTGTGCCCAGGAAATGCTAGCGTCCCCCTTTTGAGATGAGACGACCCTTGGACACCGTGTGCCGAGATCCAGTGTGCAGCAGAGCAAGGTTTGAAGACCTTGGGATGAGGAAGTTGCTGAGCCCTGGGCACTGAAGGGGTCAGAGAGCACTGGGGAACTGAAATCCTGACGTGGCTGGTGTTTCGAGGAGTTGGGGGCATGGCGAGGCTGGAGCTCAAGTGTCCAAAACGTGGCTGGCTGGACTGTGGAGGGCCTGGAAGGTCAGACTGAGGGCTGTGAGGGAAGGGAACTCTCCTGGGCAAGGGAGGATGTGCAATGGTTTCTCTTTCTTTCTTTTTTCTTTTTTTAAATATTTTTTTATTTTTAAGTAATCTCTACACCCAGTGTTGGGCTTGAACCCACAGCCCCAAGATCAAGAATCCCATGCTCCACTGATTGAGCCAGCCCCTCTTTGTTTTTCAATGTGGTGAAATCCACATAATTTAACCATAACTCTTGAAGTGTATAATTCAGTGACATTTAGTACGTGCATAATATGGTCCAACCGTCCTCACTCCCAAAGGAAATCCCCTTCCTGTTAAGCAGTCACTCCCCACTGGGCTCTCCATGTGACCTATCCTATATAGCCCCTTGCCTACCTCCTTTCTCTGTGGATTCACCGCTTCTGAACATTTTGTATAAATGCAGTCATACAATATGTGACCTTCTGCACAGCCTTCTCCCTCAGCGTAGTGTTTCTGAGGTTCACCCACTTTGCAGTATCGGCACCCCAATCCTTATTGTGGCTAAATGTTATTCCATTGTGTGGATGGACCACATTTAGTTTATTCACCCTTCTGTTGGACATTTGGGTTGTTTCCACTTTTTCTCTGTTGTGAGAAATGCTGCTGGGAATATTCATGTAAAAGTTTTTGTTTCAATACCTGTTTTCTATATTTTTGTGTATATTCCTAGGAGTGGAATTGCTAGATCATATGGTAACTCCATGTTTAGAATTTTTGAACAACTGCCAAACTGTTCTCCACAGTGACTTCAACATTTTCTATCAGTAATGTACTCGCGTTCTAATTTCTCCACATCCTCACCAACTATTGTTAGTGTCCTTTTTTTTTAAATTTGTTTTGTTTTTTAAGTTTCTTTCTTTAAGTAATCTCTACACCCAAAGTGGGGCTTGAATTCACGACCCTGAGATCAAGAGTCCCATGCCTGGGTGCCTGGGTGGCGCAGTCGGTTAAGTGTCTGATCTTGGTTTTGGCGCAGGTCATGATCTTGGGGTCGTGCGATCGAGCGCCATGTCAGACTCTGCACTTGTCGTGGTCTGCTTGGGATTCTCTCTCCCTCTCCTTCTGCCCCTCCCACTTGTTCTCTCTTTCTCTCTAAAATAAGTAAATACATTAAAAGAAAAAAAAGAGTCATGTGCTCTTCTGACTGGCCCCTTAAATCGCCATTCTGACTGGTATAAAGTGGTACCTTAGTGTGATTTTGACTTGCATTTCCCTGATGGTTGGTGATGTTGAGCATCTTTTCATGTGCTACTCCTGTATCTTCTTTGGAGACAAGCCTGTTCTTAATTGGGTTGCTTGTCCTATTTCTTAATTGGGTTGCTTGTCCTTGTATTATTGAGTTGTAAGAGCTCTTTATATATTCTGGATACTAAACTCATAGCAGATATTCCATTCGCAAATATTTTCTTAAATTCTGCATGTTATTTGGTGTCCTACACAATAGATCACTGCCTAACCCAACCCCAACAAACACATGAAAAGATCCTCAGACATCAGGGAAATGAAAATGAAGACCACAATGAGATGCCACTTCACACCCATGAAAATGGCTGCTCTCTAAAAAATGGAAGCTAGTTTTATTCACTTAAAAATGGTGAAAATGGGGCGCCTGGGTGGCTCAGATGGTTAAGCATCTGCCTTCGGCTCAGGTCATGATCCCAGGGTCTTGGGATCGAGCCCTGCATCGGAGCCTGCTTCTCCCTCTCCCTCTACTGTTTCTCCTGCTTGTGCTCTCTCGCTCTCTCTGTCAAATAAGTAAATAAAATCTTTTTAGGGGCGCCTGGGTGGCTCAGTTGGTTAAGCGACTGCCTTCGGCTCAGGTCATGATCCTGGAGTCCCTGGATCGAGTCCCGCATCGGGCTCCCTGCTCGGCGGAGAGTCTGCTTCTCCCTCTGACCCTCCCCCCTCTCATGTGCTCTCTCTCATTCTCTCTCTCTCAAATAAATGAATAAAATCTTTAAAAAAAAAATAAAAATAAAATCTTTTTAAAAACTGGTGAAAATGGTAAATTTTATGTTATGTATATTTTACCATAATTTTAAAAATAAAAATTAATGAAAAGAAAATTTAATGTTATGTATATGTTCTCACTCCCTCAAAACAATCTCCCTAAGAACTGGTCCTGAAATAGTGACACATGTGATGGAGGAAGACCCTTGTCCCCTAGAGTGAGAAGGACTTTTCTCATGGACACTGCTACTTCAGACCAGACTTATGCACACACACCTAGCAGATCTCCCCCAGCAGAAGCGACCACTTCCCCCTGGCCCATCAGCACCTCCTTTCAGCACCCTATTCTCCTGGTCAACTCACCCCACAAACCACTCTCAATCACTGCTCTTTACCATCTCTATAATTTTTCCTTCCCAAATGTCATACACATGGGATCGTACAGCATGTAGTTTATTCAGATTGTCTTCTGTCACTCAGTAATATGCATGTGAGACTCATCCATGTCTTGGCGTGGCTCGATAGATCATTCCTTTCTGTTGATGAATAGTGTTCCATTGCACACATGCATGGATCTCACTTGGTTATTCACTCACCTGTTGAAGGAGATCCTGATTTGTTGGAAAGTATTTGGCCATTTTGAAGAGAGATGCTGTACATAACTGCAGGCTGGTTTTTGCTTGGATATATGTTTTTAGAGCAGTTGTCTAAATACCCAGGAATGTGATTATTGCCTTACATGGTGAGACTATGTGTAGTTTTGGAAAGAACTGCTAAAGTGTCTTCCCAAACGGCCGCAGCATTATACATTCCACCAGCAATGAATGCAAGTTCCTGTTGCTATCGCTGTTTGTTTTTCTGAAGATATTCTCTAGATAGGCAGTGCTAGCTCATCGTTTTAATTTGCTTTTCCCTCATGACACATGATGTGGAGCGTTATTCTGTATGCTTATTTGTCATCTGTAGATCTTATTTGGTGAGGTGTGTGTTCAGATCTTTACCCATATTTAATTGGGTTGTTGGTCCTCTTTTTCACTCTTGGAGTTTGTTTGTATATTTTGCACTGAAGTCCTTTTTTTAGATGTGTTTTCCAAACATTTTCTCCCCACCTGTGGCTTTTCTTTAGTGGATCTTTCACAGAGTAGATAGTTTACATTGTACTAAAGTAAAACATCACCAATTTTTTTCTTTCATTGACTGGCTTTGGTGTTTTAAAACTCGTCACCAAACCCAAGGTCATGTATGTTTTATTTTTTATCTTATTTTAGTTTTTCTTTTATTTTTACGTAGGCTTCATGCCCAGCGTGGAGCCCAGCGAGGGGCTTGAACTCACAACCCTGAGATCGAGACCTGAGCTGAGATCAAGAGTCGGACACTTAACCGACTGAGCTGCCCAAGCGCCCCTCCCAAGGTTACGTAGAGCTATAATTTTCACAGCTTTGCATTCAAAAAATGTATGTGTGTGGACCATTTGGAGTAAATTTTTGTGTAATTTTTTTTTCTTTTTTTCTTTTTTTTTAAAGAGAAGGAAGGAGACTTCCTTTTTTTTTTTTTAAAGATTTCATTTATTTACTTGACAGAGAGAGACATAGCAAGAGCAGGAACACAAGCCGGGGGAGTGGGAGAGGGAGAAGCAGGCTTCCCGCAGAGCAGGGAGCCTGATGCGGGGCTCAATTCCAGGATCCTGGGATCATGACCTGAGCCGAAGGCAGACGCTTAACGACTGAGCCACCCAGGTGCCCAATTTTTGTGTAATTTTAAGGTCTGTATTCATATCCCTTTTTTCTCCATGTGTTTTCTCATTGTTCTATCACCATTTGTGCAACAGACTTCCCTTTCATTATTGGGGTGCTTGTCCCTCTGACAAAGTAGGTGACTCTGTTGGCACAGCTCATTTTTGTTCATCTGTCCCTTCAGCATGACCACATTCTCTTCATTATTGCAACTTTATGCTGTCTTTGTTTTTTTTAAAGGATTTTTAAAATTTATTTTTGTGAGAGATTGAGAGAGAGAGAGCGAGCATGAGCAGGGGGAGTGGGAGAGGGAGAAGCAGGCTTCCCGCGGAGCAGGGAGCCCGATGCCAGACTTGATCCCAGGACCCGGGGGTCATGACCCCAGCTGAAGGCAGACGCTTCACCGACGGAGCCACCCAGGTGCCCTATGCTATGTCTTTGGATCCACATATGAGGTCTTGAGTCTTATGTCGGCTAGTCTTGGTTTAGAAATAGTTTGTCAATATCTTTGATGGGAATTTGGTTGGGATTCCATTGAATCTGTAGAGCAAGTTCGAAAAAATTGCCAGCTTAACAAATTGAGTGCATTGCTCCTGAACAAGGAATATCTTTGCATTTATCTATGTTTTTTTCATAATTGAAGTATTTTTATTTTATGTACAGTGAATTGGCATTAAGTGGGTATCTTGGATATCTGCAGTTGAGGCAGGTATCCTGGATGACCCATTCAAGGAGGTTCACTTAATCCAACTTACTGAAGCCAGTGCCCTTGGCGAACCGACAGAAACAAGGGCAGCACCTATTGAGGCCGTATTTCCGGATCAGACTGCATGGATTTGAGCAGAGGTGGAAGAAGGGAACCCTGCCCAAATTTCCTCGGATGGCTCCAAGCTGCTGGTGCCCCATCCTGCTCTCTCGGATGCACCGAGGCACAAGGCACATTTATTTATGTGTTGTTTGATTTCCTTCATCTGTGTTTTAATGTTTTGTGAATATTTTTATGTATATTGTTAGATTTATACTCAAGAACCTTAATTTTCGTATGTAATTTTTTTTTTCATTTCACATCCCAATTTGTCCTATACATCATTGCTGATCACCTCAGTCAATCTAGGCTGCTATCAAAATATCACAGACCAGTGGCTCATAAACAATAGAAATTGATTTCTCACCGTTCTGGAGGGTGCATGTCTGAGATGAGGGTGTTTCTGATGGCAGACTTCTTGTTCTATCCTCACTTGGAGGGAAGGCCCTGGCACCCTAACCTGTTCTAACACCATCACATTTTTCATGAGGATTCCAACACATGGATTTGGGGGACCACAAACTTTCACACCATAGTCCTGATATCAATTGACTTTTGTACATTTACCTTCTAGTTCGCTCTTTGTCATCTTTACATTTTCTTACCAAGGGACAGGAACAGTTGGCTCTATTTCAGTTGGAATTTCCAAATTATGACACTAGATACTCAGAACTCTAAATTTCAGAGATTCCCCAGACCTTTCCTGAGCGGGTGAACTGGCCACAGCTAAACTGTGAGTGGGTGGTGTCCGCAGCTTCCAGACAATTTGGGGTTGTGAGGACAAAGTAGAGAGATGGTCCTCGGGGCACAGGAGGGAGATCCATGGCAGGTTCCCCAGAGATGTGTCATCCGAGGCGAGCCCAGAACCCTGGGTGTCCTACTTTCTCACACGTTTATTTTTACTTTCTCCTGTAGCATTTCAGCAGGATGTATCTTACAGAATTGTCCCTTCATCAGGGCTTTGGCCTTCATAACCATGCCATACCATAGTACTTTTCACAGATTCTGCTTCTTGGAGACGAGAAGCACCGAGAGCAACTGGCTGCAAGTGTGTGTGGGGCTGGAGCAGGTTCATGTGGGACCAGCGGCCAGGCCACCCTGGGCTCCACTCGAGGTCCTCTCTGTTCTGGTGTTGACAGTTGGATGCATATTGAGAAGTAGGTGTGATAAAAATCGCAATGTTATTTAAGCTTAAATATATTAGTTATACCAAACCTGAATTTCTTAAAAATTAACTTTTCTGGTTTTAATGGAAGTAAACTCGTCAACCATTTTTTTTTCTTTTGTTGAGAAAGTCACAGTTTAATTGGCAGCACATTTGCGATGGTACATAAAATAATGTTTATTT